TATTATTATTATTATTATTATTATTATTATTATTATTATTATTATTATTATTATTATTGTTATAATTATTATTATATTATTTGTATTAAATATATTAATTATTTTTATATATAAATATTTCAAATATTTATATAGACTGTGCCCAGCTATTATACAAACATGCCGAAGTCTCTATACACCCTTGCACATATGTATATACATATATTAAACTTATTAGAATTTAGAATTGATATAAGATTAAAGCTGGAGTCTTCGGCTTCTTTTTATTTTATTTTAATCAATCAATTGCAAATCGCATTAGGCCCGAGTTAAACAACGAATTTTCCACTTAAAGCTGATAAATTTCCCATAAGCCAAAAAGCAGTTTCTTGAATTGCCGTCGGCGCAAGCCGAGAAAAAGCAAAAGAAAGTTTATATTTTATTGTAGTTCGTTATGCTTGGCCATAAGCAATATGTCAGTTGCAAAAACATAAATTTCAATTTTCGTGTCGTATATATCAACAATTTGCTGTCACACACGCACAGCACCCCAACAGTAACAGCAGCAGCAGCAGCAAAAGCTCACGCAAGCAGCAAAAACTTTTGTAGCCATAGATACATTTATATCTTATAGATACACAGATGTATCTGCAGCTGTAACTGTTGCTGTAAGCGGGTTTTGAAAATTGATATGTCAGAGAATGTTGGAATATTGAAACGTTATTAAATAAGGATTGTTGCTTGTTGTTGTTTGTGCTGCTGTTGCTGTTGCTGCTGCTGCTGCTGCTGCTGCTGTTGATTGCAACATGACAACAACAAGGGCAACAACAGCAACAAATTTACAGCTCGAGGCAAGAGTTGCATGTCATGCAGCAGACGTTGCACAAAGTCGACGCTGTGAATCGAATTGGCATGGGTTGGCTGGGTCGAGCAGGGCAAGGACCAAGCAGGAAACTGCGATTCGAACCCTGAGCTCGGAATCGAGCGGCGCGAACGTGTTGCATGTGGCATGTGGCATGTGGCTGGCCGGAGGGTTAGCCGAGCAAGACGCATGTCAATGTTATTTTAGCAATGAAAATATATATAACAAAAAAAAATGTATATATATTCTGGGGGCGGGCAGGCGTGGCACTTATACCGAAAATCAACACGCAAGCAAAACACAAAAAAAAAAAAAAAAAAAAAAAAAAACAAAAATAAAATAAAATAAAATAAATGTAAACGAAAGGACAAATGAAACTGGAAGTTCAGCCAAAATGTGTTCAATGCGCACATTCTGAGGGTTAAATGTCGCATGTGGGTGGCTCTTATATTTGGGGTGGCCCAAAACTTGCCGAAGCGTGGAATTTTTTTTTTTCTGTTCTGTTCCGTTTCGTTGTTTACATTTCTTTGCTTGACCAAGGAACGAGCCGGCTTGGGGTTTGCGGTCGTGTGACTGTTGCGCCCTGCGGTAATATTCAACACCTAAAAAAAAAGGTTGATTTTTTGTTGTTGCTGTCGTTGTTGTGTGTTTATAAATGACAAACTACAGAGGAGTTGGGGGTAGGGGCAGGAGTGGGTGCTATTGCTGCTTGCGTGTGTTTTTGGTAACACGGATGTAACAGCCACTGTGTCAGAAAATACGCATTTAAATGTCAATTAAGAAGATAAGGGTGCAAACGATATGGAAATGCTGTAGCTAAAGCGATATTACAAAAAACCTTTTGAGCTGAAATTTGTAAAAAAAAAATAAAAATAAAATAAAACAGAAACGTGTGTTTAATGAAATGAAGACAGTTAGAGTGTTATTTTAGACACGTTGCTTTGC